TATTTATTTAATTAATAGTATATTATTATCAATATTTTTATGATTATTAATATTATTATGATTATTATTATTGTTATTATTATAATGAACAACTATTTATTAATTTAATTTTTTTTACTGAAATATTTAGCATTAACTATTTAAAATTTTTTTTATATTTCCCTAAAGCTTTTAACATTTAAATGAACGAAATTTTTTTTCTTACAAAAAACAAATTTAAAAACAATTCAGTTTGAACAATTTTAAATAATTCTTATACTGAACCGAAAAAAATATAAATTAAACATTAAATTTAATTAAGAATTAATTTATTTTCCAATAAAATGAAATCTGAAGTAATTAAAAATAAACAACTGTTAGAAAAATTTCAATTGTTTTAATTACTTTAACAGCAATGAGTAAAAATTAAATAATTTTAATATTAAAGATTAATTTTAAAAATAAAAAAAAATTTTTGAATAATAATAATTAGTAAAAATTTTCTTTTTTGAAACTAATTAAGCTTCAGACTGAGAAAAAAAAATCATTAAAATCTTTCTAATCTAAACCTCAATAAACAGGTCGAACGATCGCCAAGAAAAAGTCGACTCTCAGTGAAAGTAAAATCGTATTCTGATCCTCTCTGTACCACGTGCACGTATACCGATTTCATTCTAAACCAAACTGCAAGAGAATTAATAATTTACTTAACAATTTCTAAAAAGAAAATCCTAACAAGATACTAAAAAAACTAGTAGTAAAAAGCTAATACTAAAAAAACTAATACGAAAAAAACAAATACTAAAAAGACAAATACTAAAAAAAATAATACCAAAAAACTAATACTAAAAAAACTAATACTAAAAAACTAACACTAAAAAAAACTAATACCAAAAAAACGATTATAATTATGAATTACACGAAATAACAAAATTTTCCAATAAACTCCAAAATTGAAATAATCCCACAACAAAACAAATTATTTCAAAAGAATTTTTTCTTTATTATTTAAAGAATAGTTATTGTTTCTTAAAAAAAAGTCTCGTATTTAATTTTTATTGACCACTAACACTGTCACAAAATTGATGAGAACGGGAAGTTTCTAAATTTATAATTATTCACGCACATAATTAACAGTATGAGAAAAGAATACGCTCATAATTCTTGGAAAATACATTTAAAAAAATACAAAAACACACATCTTAACGTGACACAAAAGGTTAAATAACTTATCACTTTGTAATTATCTAAAACACAGTAACAATTATTTTCATATAGAGAAACTGCATGGAAAAATTACGCGATTACTTCTCTCAAGTAATATAGTCATATTCAAGCCTCTGCTATTTTCAAACTAAATGCAAAGAGGAGAAAGGATTTTGCCGCAGAAATCTAATACACTGTATACTCTAAGAAGTCGCTTGACATCTGAGAATATCGACATTATATATATATATATATATATATATATATATATATATATATATATTTTTTTTTTTGTACATAATTTTCCTCTACTACGAAAAATATTAAATTTCTTATCGCTAAAATTATTCACTATACAAAGATAAATTTTGAAATTCTTTTTCCTTTTTTTAAATTATAACAAGTTTAATGCACGTTGCGTAAATTTTGATAAATCGCAAAGCGAAGAATTAATAAAAAAAAGTCGAAATTTGACTAAGAAAAAGTCGAAAGAAAAAAAGAAAAAACAAGAAAAAAATAAAATTATAATAAATTCTAATTTAATGAAAACAGTGTCGAAAATATTTTCTACTTAATTAAAATTTTCAATTTAAAATTCTTATTATTGTCTTAATTATATAGGAATAAGGAAAGAGAGCAAATTTGTTTTGATTCTTATCGCAACTTTTTTTTTTCTTTGAACTTGAACTTCCTCTCTTGTGAAATTAAAACCGAATAAACGTAATATTCCTTTATTTTTCCGAGAATAATATTTTTGTAAATAATATTTAATTTACCAAAGTTTATTGATTTTTAATAATTAAATTTAATTCAAATGTTTAATTCAGTAATTAATTTGAAATATTTTATATAATAAATATTTAATATATTAAATTAAATTTTCTTGTATCACAAATATTTTCCGTGATAAATATTGTAATTATAATATTTGAATTTAGGAATTAAAATGTTATTGAAAGATTTAAAATTACAATTTAATTTACAAACTTCGTTACTAAGTAAACCGAGCCGTAAATTAAATTTATATTTACAAAAATTGGCAACTGTAAATCGAAGAGTAAATTAAATTTATTTACATAAAATTATAATCAAAAAGCGAATTAATTTCAACAGTTCTAAAATATAGTGGACTGAAAAAAATTAGTTGATTCAAATAATTAATTACTTCTCCACTACCAAATTAATATTTACCTAACATTTATTTACTTAATAATTTTTATTTATACCTAATAATTTTTTCAAAATCAAATAAATTTTATTCGAACCAAAAATTTCACTGTAAAGCAAATATCATTATTAACAAATATATTTTACTTATAAATAAAAATTATTTGTTAATACAAGTAATCGTTCAAGTCAAAAAAAATTTTTTTTGTCATAGAATTTACATAATTAATATAAATTTATAATTTATCCTCTAAATAATAAGAAATATGTAATTTGAAAAACTATTAATTTACCATCAGAATTAGAATCAAAAATCAGAATTAGAATCAAAAATTGGAATTAGAACCAAAAATCAATATTCGAATCAAGAATCGAAATAATACAAACAGAACTATAATAATAAATTTATACACAATTAATAGAACGATTTGAATATTTTTTTTTTTTGGTCAATGATAAATTTGGAAACTATAGTCAACAAATCAGTTGTTAACTTGACAAACAAGTTATGTATTAGTCAATTATCTAGAATTAATGATTAAGCATTCAATTGTGTCAACGTCATCAACACGAAGACAGAGTATTGTGTGGTAAACCTGACGAAGCAATTAATTATGTTTCTCAAAACAAATATCACTGGTAACCGACTACCTGCTGGGATTGTATATCAGAAGCCAAGCAATTACTATGAGATATAGCGAGAGATTCGGTATCAGGGAAATATAATTTGTCCAATTTATAGGACAAAGCTCTATAGCAGACCGTGCGTGTAATTATATATTGCAATTTTTATTCGAATGCCTATCAAAATTCGTAGATGAATTATAATTAATAATGAATAATTAACAATTAATAATTAATAATTGACAATTAATAATGGACAATTACTAATTGACAATTACTAATTGACAATTAATAATTGACAATTAATAATGAATTATTAATAATTAATAATTGACAATTAATAATGAATTATTAATAATTAATAATTGACAATTAATAATAAATTATTAATAATTAATAATTGACAATTAATAATGAATTATTAATAATTAATAATTGACAATTAATAATGAATTATTAATCATTAATAATTGACAATTAATAATGAATTATTAATAATTAATAATAAATAATTAATAATTAATAATGAATAATTAACAATTAATAATTTACAATTAATAATTAATAAATAATAATTCTAACAATGATATAAATAACAAAGTATATAATTATCTATCAGTCTCGATGAGTTACTTTCGAAAAAAAGTATTTTTACTCGAACAATATAACGAAGACTACAATATAACGACTCAAATTATTAAAATCTACTCGCAAAAGAATTTTAATTCAACATAATTATTTCCACTCTTTTCATTCATAAGATTTCCACAGATAATTCGAAGTCAATACATTTTTTTCTTGATAATAAAAAAATTTTCTTTTAATCTTCTTATTCTTAACATTTTTTATCCATTTTTATTCCAACATCGTTATCTATTCCTAGATAATTAATTCCTGCTATTCAAATTGTTTCCAATATTTTTATCTATTCCTCGATAATTATAATTCCTGAAATTTCAATTAATTGACTCCAAACATTTTTTTTTATCTATTCCAGAATAAAATTAATTCCTGCGAAGTTTAAATTAATTCCATAATTTTTATCTAATGCTGCGAATAATAAAATCCTAAAATTTCAAATTGATTTTCGGAAATATTTAAATAAATTCGCACTGCTCGTTGAGAATTCGTTTACGTGAAGACACCAATTCCTCGTAAATTTAGAGATGACAAAATTAACCTTGCTCCAGATTTGAACTCGAAATGCCTCTCTGAACAAAATAAATTATTTGTTAAATTGCTAATGTATTTTTTGCAAAACTATACTAATAGAAAGCGAAATTTAACTGCGAGAAAGAATTTCTTCTTTTTTTCGAAAGAAAGCATGAAAGCGAGAGCAAAAGAAATGCAGAAGAGCTAAAAAAAGCTAAAAGCTAAAAAAGCTTAAGAAAGCCTAAAAGAGACAAAAGTTTTCAAAAAACGATCAAAGAAAGCAAAGAGCATACAAAATAGAAAAGAAAAACATTCGCAAAAAAGTTGACAATTTAGAAACAATGGAAGCAAAAAGAGCCAAAATAATTTGAAAAAAATAGAAAAAGCCACTGAATATAAATTCGAGAAAAAAGCACCAATAATAACGAGCTATATATCAACAAAAAATATCGAAAAATCTCAATTGAAAACGAATACCACAAAACTGTTATTACCGTAAAAAAGTTTGTGTATATTTCTAAATTGTATTATAATTTTAATATACGTGTCCGATTTCAATATAGTGCATTTAGTAGCACGTGTTCGAATTTAATAAAGCGTTTTTCAATTTATTTGCATGTATTTTCTCAGTTTTAATAAAAAATAAATCGGAAAAAATAGCGAATAAAGCATCATTGTAAAATTTCCTAACCTCACTTTTGCACGTGCGTTGAAACTTGACTATTTTCGTCACAAATTTCAAAGTCAACATGTTAATATAAAGCATAATAAGCACAAATAGCAATAAATAAAAGAAAAAAAAGTACATATTTAGCAATCAGTAGTAAAAAATAAGTAAAAAAGTATCAATGAAACAAAGAATATTGACTTACAGGATTTACCAAGTAGATCACGTCAGCAGGGCCAGCGTTACTTGAACGAATTAAAAAGTAAACTTCCTCCTCTTGATAAAAAGACACATTTTGCAAGATCACTGTAGACCAATTCACTGAAATTAATAAATTAATATTTCTTTTAAAAGTAAACAAAACACTTTTTGAAGCACATGGCGACCGGCATGGCCGGCTAACACTATCACAATGGAAGCATGTCACGAACACCAACACATTTTCATACTAAAAGATATATTTACAATTACATGCATATATATCAACGTAGTTTGGTAATAAATAACTGAAAATTAACATTAAGAATGATTAACAATAACTAAACCAATAAATAATTCCAATAATTAACGAATTTAAGTGAAAAAATCGTTAGTTCAAGGTGTGTCCGCACAATAAAATGTCGTTAAATAAAGCTCGATTTTCATGGCATTTGAGTTTGTCATGTGATTCGTCCTCGACGAAACTAGCGCTCTCATTGGCTGAATTCAAATTTGCGCGCGGACGACAGACCAATGAGCACAAGTAATGTTCGTAAATGCGCCTTAAGGTTTTACAGTACTCTCATTGGCCTGTTGAGTCCCCGCGCAAATTTGAATCTAGCCAATGAGAATGCTAGTTTAGATTTGTGTAAAATTAATGAAAAACACAAAAACTACAAAAAAATGACATTTTTCGGGGCGACATCTACCCGTATTGAGCGGACAAACCCGGAACTAACACTTTTTTCACTTAAATAATTAATTAAAGTAATTATTTATTAATTTTATTGTTGTAAATCAATCAGAAAGTTAAATTTAAGTTATCTATTAATAAATTACATTAATTATCCATACTATTCTGTATTGTCTCTCTCGTTCATCTTTTTATAGGTTATGAAACATGTTTGACAGCTCCACGTGCAGGGACGTGCAGTCTATTTTTTTTCTAAACAATTAAGTTTTCTTCTACTTTTAGTTCTAGTAAAATGAAATAAAAACAAATATTTACCGAATAAATAGTGTAATATACATTGTACGACAAAATTAATTGTATTAAAATAATAATTAAAAAAACTCCGAACATAAGGAGGGGAAAAATTTTACGACTAACGATTTGTTAGATATTTTCGATTAATATTAAATAAAAATTTGCTTAGTATGAGTTTTAAGCAAACAAAACAGTCTGTCGATGAGGGAGACGTGATAATTTTATATTTCGGACCGACGAATATGCATTCAATTGAAGTGAAACGACAAATAAAGAATAAAAAAGGTGAACTTGTCGACAACACATTTCAAACAACTTACGGAGCTCTGAAAGTAATTGATCTTGTAGGAAAGGAATATGGTTCAAAAGTACAATTAACGAAGGGATTTGGATATGTATTGCAACCAACTCCTGAATTATGGACATTGACTCTTCCTCATCGGACACAAATTATTTACACAGCTGATATAAGTTTAATTATTCATCTACTTGATTTGAGTCCAGGAAGTGTTGTCATTGAATCAGGTAAATTCACTGAATTCAAGTTTGTTGTTTTTTAAAATATAAATTAATGCCTAAATGCCAATATATTTTATTATTGATTAATAAAATATTATCAAAAAATTAATTTCGTTTTTCCCTGATTTCCAGATAAAATTTTACGACTTTTTCTCTAAAACTGAAGAATATTCTGCTTTTTTTGAATATTGCATTTTTGCTTCCAGGAACGGGAAGTGGATCTCTTTCTCACGCTTTAATTCGCACCATACGACCTAGTGGTCATTTGTATACCTTCGATTTTCACGAGAATCGAGTAAACGTAGCAAAAGACGAATTTCAAGTTCATGGACTTGATGAATTTGTAACTGTTGGACTGAGAGATGTTTGTTCCGAAGGCTTTGGCGATGATTTGAAAAACAAAGCTGATGCGATTTTTCTAGATTTACCTCATCCTTGGAAAACGATTGACTTTGCCGTCGACGCTTTAAAAGAATCTGGTAATTAAACCTACAACTTAAACAACTAATCTGTTAATTTCAGTTCTAAAATTCCAGCAATAAATATTAATTTTATTAAAATTTAGAATTTACCTAAATTGTATTTTAAATATGAATTTATAAATGTAAGTTAACCAAAAAATTATTCTTTCAGGTGGAAAACTCTGTTCGTTTTCTCCATGCATCGAACAAGTTCAAAGGACGTGTGAAAAATTAGCTGCCACTGGATTCGAAGATATAAAAACCTACGAAAATTTACAAACGGAATTGCAAGTTCATTACAAAAGTATTCCAATTTTAGACTTGGAAAGTTTAAAAGTGCGTTACTTTTATCTTCTGAATTTATTCTTAATTTGCGTAAAATTAATTGTAATAAATTCCAATCGAATATTATCTCACTGACAATTTATTCTAAATAAATTTTTAGATTATTTATTAGAATTTATATATTATAAATTATTATAATATAATAACTATTATAATTTGGAAAAATTAAATTTTAGGAAGAAGAAATAAACGGCGAACCAACAAAGAAAAAAGGAAAATTCAAAATTAAGCAAGATGAAAATAAAATACTAACAGTCTCAGAACCAAAAACACTGCCAGGTCATACAGGATATATAACAATTGCAACACTACCTCCAGAATTTGCAAGATCTGTTATTCTCGAAAGCTGACAAAGTTATTTTCAAACTTTACAATAACAATAACAATGATAATTTAGTAAATAAACTTGATATAATTTGTCCACGATTCTACAAACGATAATCTATTTTATAAGCTTTTTTTTATACAATCACTTTTGGAGAAAAAATAGATTCTTGAATAAATATATCAATTTCGAGTAATCGTGTCTCATTTACAAATAATCTCATTCCGAAAAGAAAAATAATTTTTTTAGCATAAAGCTTGTATTTAGTAATGAAAATATAAAAATATATTTGAACGTTAATTTTTAGAAAACTAAAAAAATTGATTTCTAAAATGATATAAAAGAATGTAACTGAGTATTTTTTCAGAAAATTTGCTTAAATTGAAAATTTTAAGTATAATGTTTTAAATTATAAAAATCGTACCAGATCTTTTGTCTTTTCTTCATTCCGCTTTATTTGGACTCCAAGTGAGATAATCCGCTTTTGTTGCCGCTTGATATTCTTTCACTAAATACTCGACCACTTCTCTTGAATTATCAAGTTCATTTAGATTTTCCTCGAACATTTTCTCCTTGCGAAATTGCTCCAAGAAAGCTTCTCTTTTACGCAATTTGTCATATTGCTGCAGTGCTCGGTCGAAAAGCTTGCAAGAAGAATACAAAATTTTAGTCAACGCATTTATAAAAATTACAAATTCAAAATATTAATTTACAAATATTTGAAAGTATTAATTTCTAAATATTTCTAAATATTAATTTATAATTATTTATATACATTAATTTATAATTATTTAGTGTATTAAAATATGAAAATACCGATGAGATATTGGTGTGATTGGCTAACATCAAACCAGAGACGCGATGAGTACTCTGAATATAAGGAGATTTTCTGGACAGAGCTACTTGGATGCTGGCTGGACCCCAGGGAATAAATTGTGCGAGTTTTCGCTCTCGAATTCTTTGCAATGATTTGTGAACTTGTGTGGGATCAACTTCGCCCTGTTAATGATTTTTCTAACATTAGTAGGTAATAATCAGCAAATGTGACGCGCTCCGAAAAATAAGGCAAAAATAACAAAGTTCCATAGAAGCAAAAAATTATAATATTTATAAAGAAATTTTTTTTCGATTTTTGGAAAGTCCTTATTACATCTTAAATAATCAATGAAATTTTAGTTTTAAATTAAACATAAAGTTTCAGTTATAAAAAAAATAACAATCATAAACTGAAAATAGTTTGCTTCTAAGGTATCTTTCTTTGGAGCGTGTCACAAATAATGTTTTACATGTGTCACTAATTTTTTTTTTTAAGAAAAATTATAATCATTACCTGGATAATATTTAAAATTGATATATAACAATGTGCAGCATTTCTATCTAAAGCTGTTGAGACCATCATATTTTTCGGTTGCAGTAATCGTCGCATAACATCTAATACTGAAGTTTTTCGAACGCTTGCTCCCTGTAATTGTTTTTATTCATCAAATAATTGAAAATTTCAAAAAGTGAACTTAAGAAGTAAATTTAAAAAAATGAACAATAAGTAAATTTAAAAAAATAATTGTAATATTATATAAACTAATAAATACAGTAAAGAATTAATAAATCGTACTTCTTGATCTGTAGTAAGTGGAGTGTAACCTGTCATCAGGAAATGTAATCTCGGCGTCGGAATTAAAGGCGCTATCAAGCCCACCAGGTCATTGTTCATATACGAAGGATATCTAACAAAACAAAAGAAAAAAATTATTTTTACACTTATTAATTTGACTAAGTAACTTTTAACTAACTTACAAAATTGACAATTACCAATCCAATTGCAACTTGGATATTAATAATTAAAAATTTTACAAATTTCTGTTTAAAAAAAAACATTACCTGAGAGTAGTGGTGCTGACAGACATAATTGTCGAAACCAATTTATTAATTTGCGAGAAACTTGGATTTTGTATGTGCAATCTGTCCGAGGCAATTCTATTTAGAGCCGTATTGTCCAAAACAACAACGCAATCGGCACATTGCGTTAATCGCTTCAACGTGAGCAGAGAATTGTACGGCTGAACAACGACATCACTTATTTCGTCCTGATTGGGAAAAACGCTGTAAGTTTCAATTAATTTTTTTGGAAATCTATCGGCCAAACTCTCCAGCATAAATGAACCCATTCCCGAACCAGTTCCACCGGCTATCGAGTGACAGAGAACAAAACCCTAAAAAAAGGGGGTAAATTTAAAAAAAATGTATTTTATTCTCTATTAATTTTCTTTTTTTTTCTTCGAAACTACATTTTCGAAGGAGAAAGCAAAAAAGAATTACCTCCAAACTATCACTTCCATCTGCTTCTCGATCCAAAATATCGAAAATCTCCTCCTGAAGTTTCTCCCCTTGATGATAACCTGACGCCCAATTATTTCCTGCACCACCTCCATGTTTTGATAAATAGATATTTTCCGGATTATAAAGCTGTAGGGACAAGAAAAAAGAGTTGGAATAAAAAATAAGAAAATAGAAATAGAGAAAAAAAGGAAAGTAAATTAATCTTTATTTTCTTCTTCTATATTAATAATCGTTGTATTCCGGTAATCTGTTCGCAGTTTGAAATTAATCACTGTTTGCTTTTTTGTCTCCTAACTTTCGAAATAATTTTCCTTTTTAAATGTTTTCAATTTTGAAATTAATGTACTGGAAATCACTGACTTCTTGCAAAGTATTTATCAAAAAATTTGAAAATAATTGAACTCATTTCAAGAATTTTATCAACATTTTTTTCAATAATTGAATTCTTTCGAGAAAATTTAATTAAAATTGTATTAAAAATAATTTAATTCTTTGCAAGATTTTTATTGAAATTCTTTAGAATAATTGAATTGTTTTGAAGAATTTATTTCAATATTCTTGAAAATAATGGATTTTTTAAAAATAATTTTTACTGAAAATTTTCAAAGTAATTGAATTTTATGAAGAATTTTTCTTAAGTTTTTCAAATAATCGTGTTTATTATAAATTGCAATTAATAATTTTTCTATTAAATTATATTAAAATTATTAATAGAAAATTAAATTCTTTTAAACAATTTTATTAGCGTTTTTGTAAACAATTACATTTCTTTTAAGAATTTCATTTAATTTCATAAAAATAATGTAATTTTTTAAAATAATGTTAATTGAAAATATTAAAAATAATTTAAATTTACATAGAATTTTATTAAAAACTTTTGAGAACAATTGAATTGTTTAGAAAAATTTTATTACTATTTTTAAAAATAATGGATCCTATTAGAGAAGTTTTATTAAAATTATCTTGAAGATAATTGAATTTTTTCTTAAAAATTTAATTAAAAGTGTATTGAAAATAATTAAATTTCTAAAAAGAATTTTATTATTTACAAAAATAATTAAATTCTTGGCAAGAATTTTACAATTTATAAAAATAATTTAATTGTTTCGAAGAATTTTTTATTAGAACTGTTGAAAATAATTGAATTCTTCCGAAACATTTTATTATTTATAAAAATAATTGAATGCCTCTGAAGAATTTGATTATTTATGAAAATATTTTAATTCTTGGGGAGGATTTTACAATTCATAAAAATAATTGAATTTTTTTGAAAAATTTTATCTGAATTTTTGAAAATAAATGAATTTTTTGAAGGAATTTTATTACAAATTTTGAAAATAATGATTTTTTTAAGAGAATTTAATTTAAAATTGTCGAAAATAATTGAATTTATATTAAAATTTTTGAACATAATCGAATTTAATTAATATTTCAAAAAATTCTCGTAATCTTTCGAGTAATTATTTTAAAATTGTATAAATTGAAAATAATTGAACTACTCAGAAGAATTTTATTATTTACAAAAATAATTGAATTTTTGCGGAGGATTTTACAATTCATAAAAATAATTGAATTGTTTCAAAGAATTTTATCTGAATTTTTGAAAATAATTGAGTTTTTTTAAGGAATTTTATTAGAAATTTTGAAAATAACGATTTTTTTAAAAGAATTTCATCAAAATTGTCGAAAATAATTGAATTTATATTAAAATTCTTGCAAATAATCAAATTTAATTAATAATTTAAAAAATAATTGTATTCTTTCCAGAAATTTTATTAAAATTGTATTGAAAATAATTGAATTGCTCTAAAGAATTTTATTATTTATGAAAGTAATGAAATTCTTGCGACAAATTTTATTAAAATTTTTTGAATAATTAGAAACAAGAATAATTAAGTATTTAATAAGTGAATTCTTTAAATTTTAAATCTGTAATCATTCAAAAATTGATGTTTATTCTTGAAAATACAAAGTTTTTTAATTTAAAAAATAATAATAAATGGAATACCGCTTTTTGCGCGTATCATTTTCAATAGTGATTAATAAAAGGAGAAAATTACCTTCGAGTACGGAGAATTCATAATTGTGTGAATAACCCTTGGTTCCAAATCCAAGAGAACAGCACGTGGAATGTAATGTTCATCGTCAGACTGATAGAAAAAGACGTCTTTCCTATCAGTTCCTTCTGTCGCATAATCTTCCAAAATTCCCTCCGGACTAATGCCATGCTCGGCACAAAGTCTCTTCCAAAATTCGAACCCAACTGAAACAAAATTTCGTTGACAATAATTTACAAACAGTACAATTTTACCAATTTTACAATTCTCAATTTTTGTCGAAATAAAATATCTCACTCTGATTTCCGCATTGTCCGAGTTGCAGTGTTATCATTTCACAAGGCATTTTGACGTTTCTAATTAAACAACACTTTCTCAGTAAATATTTCTTTTACAATGGCACTACCTTTCAATATGACACATTAAATGCTTATAAAATAACAATTTCCTTAAAGTCTTTAAATGTTTTAAACTATTCAACATTTAGTGATAACAATTCTAACATTTTTAACGGTTAACCTCAAAATTGACAAACTTTTCTTCCTTTAGTTTTTTTTTTTTAACTTTTCCTTTTTCCACCTCTTTAATATTCAATCCCACCTTTTGTCAAATATATTAGGCAAAATCTAGTTAATTTATAAATCAGTATTTACACTCCGGAATTCATTGATTTAATTGAAAACAATTAACTTTGTAAACATAAATAAAAGAAAAGAAGCTCTTTGTTTTTTTCTTTTTTTTCTTGACGTATCTGTCGATACTTTGCCGGGTGGTGTTCCCTTTCTTATCGGCCTAATTATAGAGGTCGCGAATAATTTTTTTCAAATGTCACGTCCAAATGCAACTTGTTGGATTTAATTTGAACTTTGTTTTTTTTCGGGATAAAATAAATAAAATTTAAAAATGAATAGCCAATTCGGTGAAATTGTACAGCCAACATCGCGAGCTTTTTGGCTCGATGAAGACGACGAAGAATTACAGGACTCTGAACAAGAACCGTAAGTTGTATGAAACTAACCTCACTTTTGGATTAATAAACAAAATTTTAATTTTATATTCAGGTGTAAAACTAACATACAGAATAATAATTTATATGGAATTTTAATTTACTAAACAGATTTTAATTAATTATGGTTTTTAGCTTATTTTCATTGGAATGGTTAGAGAAGGAACCATCGAGTATTGAAAAGTTGATCATCGTCGAGGGTGACATGGTAATCGGTAAAAATTTAAATATTACTTTTGTCAAATCAAAATTGTTAATTATTACGAGAAAATTCACAAGATAATTATAATTTCCCTGTATTTTTTCTCAATTATAAATTAAATAGAAGACGAATATTTATATATTAATTTCGTAATTAAAATGTTTGTTTATTTTTAGGTTTTACGAAAGAAACGTTACTTCAGGATGCCAAGAAAATTTGCAACATAAAACACGAATCGCAAAAGAAGTCTTCAATTATTTACGAAGTTGAAAATTCCCTCTACATTTGTCTCGTTAGCACCGAACTCGATTTAACGGAAGCGGGAGAATTTATCGAAACGGTAAATATTTCGCAAAATTAATTTCCTTTCTAATTTTATGAATTTTAATAATTTCTAAAAATTACAATTATAACCCTTCCTGAATTTAATTATTTTCTACAATTTTCAACTAAACTTCATCTCTGAATCAATTAAGTTTTTCAATTTTGAAAAATTTCCAAACAATTAAAATTTAGTAAAATCTTTTAAAAATAATTGAATTTTTGAAAAGTACAAATAAAAATGATAAATTTTTTCAAGAATTTTAATTATAAACCGGACCATGATTTCTCAAAAATTTTAATAAGTCCAAAAAGTAAATTTTTAATCTTAAATTATTACAAAACAATTCTAATAATTAGTTTTAAAAAATATTTTATTAATATAATTTTTCGAAAATAATTCTATTTCTTAAAAGAATTTTTGTATAATTTAAAAAAACTAATGAATTTTTTGGTGAATTTTATGTAATTAAAAAGTTTGAAAATTATTGTTTTCTCAAAAATGTTAAAAATAATTATAAAATGTTATTATTTTTGGAAATATGTAATTGAAAATATTAAAAATATTGAATTTTAACAAATTAAAAGCTTATTTTCATTTTTAAATTTACCTTTAAAGATTTTTCATTATAATTTTTGATAATTCAATTATTTTCAAAATTTGCAATTAAAATTCTTCAAAAGTTGATTTTTAAAAATTGTAACGAAATACTTGAAATAAATTAATTATTTTCAATTTTCAATTACATTATAAAACTAAATAATTAAATAAAAAATTTTTTAAAAATTAAATTAATAAAATAAAATTAAATTATAAAATTAAAATGTAATGCAAATTTTTTACATTTAGATTCAACGTATTTTAACGAAGGCAAAGAAAATAATTGCACTCACCAATTGTCACGTGTCGCAATTGAAAAGCAATGAAGAATGCAGTGATCCGTCATTTTTGAAGTCGTTGTCGACGAAGGAGGCGAGAAATTCGTTGAAGATCAATGCGCCAAATTTAAGTCAGCCGAATATCATATCTGGAGTAGCTGCCGGAGGTAAAAAGAAATCTCTTTCCATTTCAGGGTTGCCATGCTTTCGCCCATTTCAAATTCCCTGATTTTCCAGGTTAAAAAACGGAATTTTATTTCCAGGTTTTCAAAACTACATTTGTTGCCAACAAAATTTTATTTTGTTTTTCCCTTGAATTCCAGACAAAATTCTTACTTCTCCTTGACTCTAAATAATATTTTCATTCAGTTTAAAAATTACTACTCAGAAAAATATCTTCTTTTTTAAATAAAAATATTTAATTATCAAAGATCCCTGACTTTTCCAGATTGAGTGGCAACCCTGCGATTTCTATCAACATCAGTGGGAGTTAATTTTTCTTTTTAATTTTCAGCACTCTCCTTTGCGGAAATAAAAGCCACGTACGGTATTCTCTTTGTCCTTTACACTGACAATTTTGTCCTCGATTCAAAAAGTGCCCATCCACTCGTCGAATTATTTTCCGAATTAATGAATCGTAATCTTCCTGAATTCTCATCTGTTCGTAGTGGCATTTTTAATAAAGGTAATCTTTACATGTAAAAATGTAAATTATATTTTACGATATCGTCTTCTTTAATCTCCCCAACTTCTCTAACTTCTAGTTCTTCTTTATCTGAAATTTCAAAACAATGTCCAATTTTTAGAAAAAAATTCGAAAAATCCTTTTTCTTCTATTTTTTATTAAAAAAAGCACTTACATGACAACTCATGAATCTCAACGTATATTTTTTGTTTTCTTTCTTTTTTTTTTGTTTTGTGTGTGGGGGGACAAAAGTAGTAAAAATAATTTGAAAAAATATTTTATCCTACTACGATTGTGAAGGATAATATGAACGTTGATTACTCGATGGACCAGTTGGCGTGCCACCCGAGAAGAATGATGAATTCGATGGATAACCATAAGGCGGAAATGGTTGTTGTGTGGGCGTCGAGACAGTTGGTATTTGTCTAACTGAACTTGGTGTACCTAAATTATGCGTCGTAGGTACAATGTGATTTAATGTATTGACATTCGGCGGTGGTACCGATATATTTGTCGGTGGATAAACAGGTGGATAATTCGTCGTGCTTGCAAAATTCGTTGGGTACGATGGAAAATGTACGGCAACTTCAATTGGTTTTGAATTCTCAATTACTTCCGTTGTATTGCAGCCATTTGTTGGCACTGAATTTGTTTCCGTTTTCGATGGTTTCACTGTAATACCAGCTGAAAAATAATATTTCTCATTTACTTTCTTTCTTTTTTTTAACTTCGATTTTTATATTCTCGTCAAAAATGTCAATATAGTCAATATATTCTAGTAAAAAAATTGTGGCATTTTTTGAAATTAAAATTTTATTCTTACCATTTGGCGTGCTCGATGCTGATTCTATCGAGGGTGGGGCAATTAGTCTTTCGCGAACAGTTTCAGTTGAAGCAATCAATGGAGGTGAATCCGGAGGTTTTGCATTATTTGCATGAGAATACAAATCGAGGACTTGATGACAAATATCTGAGAAAAATAAAAATAAAAGAATAACTTAAGAGTCGTATTCTTAATTTTAAGAGATACTTTTTATTAAAAAAAAAGAAGAAGGTAACCTTCCAAAAGATCCATTGTGACATCCTCGACGAACATGTCCCACCATCTTAAGTGTTTTGGTTGTCTGCCATTCCAATCGACGACTTCAAATTTACTCAATTTTCCCGCTAAATACATTAGAGCGACTGCTATAATTTCTGGTTCCCACTGAAGACACAGTGTCGTGCACAGACTAAAAGAAAAAGAAACTTCAAATCAATTTTTGGGTAAAAAATAAAAAAAGAATAGAAAAAGTCTAATTTTCTACAATATTAAACTCAATCAGACCGAATTTCAGTTTACAATTGCCTTTACTCTTTGTTACTAAGGCTAGAATTTTTTTATTCTTCTTTAAATACCGAAGAAACAGGGCTCGAACGAGTGAAAGTACTTAAAAATTCAATTATCTAAAATTTTAACAAACATTAATTTTTAAATCAATTTTTATTAAGAATTCTACTAGAATTCAATAATTTAAATACAAAAAAACAATTTATTGAATAATTGAATGTTTCTTTAAATTGAATTCTCATTAAGAATATTATCAATAAATTTTTAAATAAATGAATTCTTTTGACAAATTTTAATAAAATTATTAAGAATAGTTACATTTTTTGAGGATTTCGAATAAAATTTTATTAAAAATAATTGAATTTTTTCCTAAAAATTTAATTAAAATTGTATTGAAAAGAAATAAATTTCTCATAAGAATTTTATTATTTACAAAAATAATTGAATTATTGCCAAGAATTTTACAATATATAAAAATAATTTAATTGTCTCGAAGAATTTTTTATCAGAACTGTTGAAAATAATTGAATTTTGATTAAAATTCTTGAAAATAATTAAATTTTGAATAAAATTATTGAAAATAATTGAATTTAAAAAATATTTTTAAAAATTATTGTTGAGAATTTTTTTTAATTTTTGGAACATAATTGATTTTCTGTGAAGAATTTTATTACTTTTGAAAATAATTGAATTTATGCAATCATTTGTAACTTCTCTAAAATTCTTCAAATTATATCGTACAATTTACGAACTTTTTGTGCTATTTCAATCAAATTACGGACTTTACGGACCTTTTTTTAAAAGAAAAACTGACTTTTACAGAGACTTAAAGCAAATTTACGGACTTAGTTCGAGCTCTGATTAGAAAAGATCGGAGAATCAGAAATAAAAACTCACCTATCATTAACAAAAGTCCACGCCATTTGTACCATTTTTTGTAATTTATTCTTGTCACCTGAAATCAGAATATTGTAAAATCGTGCCTTGGGAATAATCCAAAAGTTAGTAAATAAATTTGACAATTACCTTTTAAAGATTTCGCGTATTTTAAAAGGTAGCTATAAGGATGTTCCACTTGGAGATCAAATTTAATTGTTTGCAAAAGAATTCTTTCCAGTGTCATTACTTCTTCCTGTAAATCGACTCACTTCCTTAATATTTGAAATTTTATTTACATATTCAAATTTATTTATTTATTTATTCATTTACGGGCATTGAGCATTTAGCGAAAAAAATATATCATTACTTTTAAAAACATTAATTTTTACTGATTTAAAAACAATAAAAATACACAATAAAAAAAATAATTAAGAAATTAAATACAATTAAGAAATTTTACCTTTGGATCTTCTCCAAACGTTACGAATTTTTGATCAGACAAAATGCCTTTTGCAGTTTTGATAATGTCTTTACATTTTTTCGGCGTCTCCTCGACTTTTCCAGCTAGGAACAAACAACTGCACGCTGTGACCTAAAATTAATTTCCAAAATTCTCATCAAATTAATAAAATCTTTTCTCTTGTAAAGGAAGCAAAAAATTCGAAAAAAATGTTTCAAAACACTTACGAAACGTGGAAAAGTTTTAAATGAATGAAACATGTAGAAACGATGAAAATAAACAACTCCCGTAGCCATTGTATTATAACCCAAATCCATTTTTGTGCCAGTATCAATAATAAATCGGGCACCTTCTTTTCGATATCGTGATTCTGTCTCATAATCAATGCCATCTTGAACCGAAGGTGTATTTTTTAAATTCTTCTTTTCATAATACCAGCATGGCATGTTTCTTTATTTCTAAAAATTAAAAATACAAACATTAAACGAAAAATAATTTCAACATTTCCAATAGAATAAAAATTTTGTAAATTTGTCAATTCTTTCTATAAATCAAATTATCAAAAAATTTCCCTTTTTTGTTTGAAAAGAAACATTTCTTAGTCAATTTACAACAATTGATATTTAACACCTGGAATTATTATTTATATTATTTAAAAAAAAACAACTTGGAAATTGAAAATAAAGCCATGAATTCTAACCTCAAAATGTGGAAAATTCTGGACAGTATCGATTGATATTTGTCTATTACTTGAATTATTTGTGATGATAAATAACTTTAGTTGAACACACACCTTTCTATTATTGTTCACAATTGAAACATTGACTAATTTTTAAATCACAGCTAGTAAATTCACTACTTTTTTAACACTTAATTGTCCTTTGTTGATATTCAAGAATTAAAGATTACCACGGTCGTTATATCTGACATGTATAGTTGAGGAAACATTTTCTTGACAGTCAATCGATCGTGTCGCTTATTAAATACAAAATGAATTTATTTACACGTCTATTAATCAATATGGAAAAAGGATAGAAAATAAAGAATATTTTTCGTTTTGTTCCCTCTCGAAATATAAAACTACTGTTTTATTTGTTCTGAATTTGAAAAAAAGTGACAACAAACGACTCTAATGACTGAAATAAAATTGACCATTTTCTTTCAGGTTGATTTGAAAACTTGTATTCGAAAGTTTGTCACTACTGACGAAGGCGGAAAGTGTTTTCAAATTCGCCGTAGCGCTACGATCGAAAAGTTCGATTTTCTTTTTTGTTTATAAAAAATGAAAATTAAAAACAAATTAATTATTATTATTAATTAACTGTATAATTATACTTTATAATAATCGTAAAAATCGTAAGAAAAGTTATTTGCTATAATTTATTTTTAATTGAATTTTATTTTTATTTTCCTAATTACAGAATAAAAAATTTGAAAATTATTAAATTCATTTGAAGAATTTTATCAACATTTTTTTAATAATTAAATTCTTTCGAGAAAATGTAATTAAAATTGTATTGAAAATAAGTTAATTCTTGTCAAGATTTTTATTAAAATTCTTTAAAAATCCTAATTGAATTGTTTTTAAGAATTTATTTCAATATCCTTCAAAATAATGAAGTTTTTTTTAATAATTTTTACTGAAAATTTTGAGAATAATTGAATTTTAAAAAGAATTTCGTTTAAGTTTTTCAAATAATCGAAATTTACAAAGAATTTTATTACAAATTTTTGAGAATAATTGAATTGTTTAGAAAAATTTTATTACAATTTTAAAAAATAATTTTGAATTTCTCAGAAGAATTTTATTATTTACAAAAATAATTCAATTCTTGTCAAGAATTTTACATTTTATAAAAATAATTTAATTGTTTCCAAGAATTTTTAAACGTTTCAGAAAATAATTGAATTCTTGCAAAGTATTTTATTATTTATGAAAATAATTAAATTCTTGCGAAGAATTTTCTTATTTATAAAAATAATTAAATTCTTGCGAAGGATTTTCTTACTTATGAAAATAATTGAATTCTTGCGGAGAATTTTACAATTCATAAAAATAATTGAAATGTTTTGAAGAATTTTATCTGAATTTTTGAAAATAATTGAATTTTTTGAAGGGATTTTATTAGAAATTTTAAAAATAATAATTCTTTTTAAAGAATTTAATTCAAAACTGTCTAAAATAATTAAATTTATATTAAAATTCTTGAAAATAATGGAATTTAATTAATATTTTTAAAAAAATTTGTATTCTTTCAAGAAATTATTTTAAAATTGTATTGAAAATAATTAAATTACTCAGAAGAATTTTATTATTTACAAAAATCATTGTATTCTTGCCGAGAATATTACAATTTATAAAAATAATTTAATTGTTTCGATGAATTGTTGAAAATAATTGAATTTTTATTAAAACTTTTGAAAATAATTGAATTTAAATAATATTTTTAAAAATAATTGTATTCTTTTGAAAAATTTTATTAAAATTGTATTGAAAATAATTTAATTCTTCCGAAACATTTTATTATTTATAAAAATAATTGAATTCCTCTAAAGAATTTTATTATTTATGAAAATATTTCAATTCTTGCGGAGGATTTTACATTTCACAAAAATAATTGAATTGTTTCGAAAAATTTTATCTCAATTTTGGAAAAGAATTGAATTTTTTGAAGAAGTTTTATTAAAAATGTTAAAAATAATGATTGTTTTAAAAAAATTCTCTTATGAATTGTAAAAATTAAATTTTTTCTAGTACTTTTAATAAAAATCTCTGACTTTTCCCTGAATTCCCTGTCTTAAAATTTATTATTATTATAGTTATAATATTATTAAAACTATATTCCAATTCATATATTATTTTTATGAAAAAAAATTTTAATGAAATATTTTTAAATTTCATTATCTTTAAAATCACTAATTTTATTTAAAAAAGTAAGTAAGAAGTTGCTAGTTGATTTTTAAGAGATGTTTCTTTTCCGTCAACCAAACAATAAAACGACTATTATAAGATATAATTTTCTATTTACAATTAAACTTTTCTTTTTACCAAAAATACATACACCAATTATATATATGTATAATAAACATTTGTTAAGTAAATTATAAATATAGACAACAATATATTATATAATATATATATAATATAATATAATATAATATATATAATATATATAATTATTATGAATCATTTATCACAGTTCATAATTTTGGTGGATAATAGGTTTGATTGGTGAATGGCGGTGGTCCAGGTATTCGAGGAATGTAAGAAAGATTTGGAGAATAATTGAAATGAGATTGAAATTGATGTGGTAGTGGTGGTCGCAAATTTGTGGGAGGTGTGAGAATTCTTATTGAATTGGAATTTGGAACAATGGATTTCATTGCAACCACATTTGGCGGCGGTATTGATAAATCTAATGGAGGATATACCGGAGGATAAATAAGATTATTAGAGAAATTCATAGTGTACGGTTGAAATTGCACCGAAGACTCAATCAGTCTTGCATTCTCGATAACGTCATCCACTGGACGTTCATTAACAGGCACTGAATTAGTTTCTGTGGCTGAAATCCTTGTGATTGTCACAGGAACTAAAATTTCAGAAAATTTATTCTTCTCTAATTTCTTTGTCATTGTTTCATCATAATAAAGCTATTTATCAACACCTAAAACTATTTCTCTTACCATTTAGGTAAGATTTTCATATCGAATTAATAATTTCCAATTAATATTCATGATTTAATAAATAAATAAAATAAATAAATATTTAATACTTAATATTAAATTTCTAATACTTAATATTTAATTTTTAATACTTAATATTTAATATTTAATACTTAATATTCACTACTTAATACTTAATTTTTAGTGTTTCTTACCGTTTATAGTGTTTACAGTCGAAACAATTGGCGGTGTTGCAGTTTTTTCCCTGGTCGTTCCATTAGTTGCATCCGAGGAATGAGATTCCAGAACTTTAAAACTATTTGTCTGGGGATATAAATCTAAGGCTTGTAAACAAATATCTGAAAATTGAATAAAAACTTTATAGAATTTAAATAATTTAAAAAAGTAATATTACTCTGAAAATTAATAGTCACAAAAAGACGGTGAGGAAAAAAAATTCACCTTCTAAAATTTCCATTGTAATGTCTTCTATAAACATATTCCACCATTTTAAATGCTTTGGTTGCTTTCCATTCCAATCGACAACTTCGAATCTACTTAATCGTCCAGCTAAATAAATTAAAGCGACTGCAATTATTTCAGGTTCCCATTGAAGGCACAGGGTTGTACATAAACTGAAATCAAATCAAGTTGTTAAAGCCAATTAAAAATTAGAAAACTATTTCTAGACAAAAAAAAAATTTAATTTAATTTTATAAAATATAAATGCTTCTGGTAAATTTAAATAATGAAACTAATTTTATAAATCTTGATAAATGAATTATTCCAATTCATATTAATCATTTTCGGTAAATAAAATTTTTTAAATTTCGATAATTATTCAGTATAAATTATATTATTACTAGAAGAAAATACGCGCAGAACGCAGTAATCCATTTATTAATATTTTGTAAATTAAAAAATTCGATATTTTCTAGAATAAACATCAATTTTTAAATGATTATAGATCTAAAATTTGAAAAATTCACTTATTAAGTACATAATATTAAATATTCTTGTTGATTATTATTCCAAAATTTTAGTAAAATTTGTCGCAAGAATTTCAATTATTTTCAATGCAATTTTAATAAAACTTCTCAAAAGAATACAATTACTTTTAAGAATTGTAAAATCCTCCGCAAGAATTCAATTATTTTTATAAGTAAGAAAATTCTTCGCAAGAATTGAAATCTTTTCATAAATAATAAAATTCTTTAGAGGAATTCAATTATTTTTATAAATAATAAAATGTTTCGGAAGACTTCAATTATTTTCAATACAATTTTAATAAAATTTCTTGAAAGAATACAATTATTTTTAAAAATATTATTTAAATTCAATTATTTTCAAGAGTTTTAATAAAAATTCAATTATTTTCAACAATTCTAAGAAACAATTCAATTATTTTATAAATTTTAAACTTCTCGGCAAGAATACAATGATTTTTGTAAATAATAAAATTCTTTTGTGAATTTCAATTATTTTCAATACAATCTTAAAATAATTTCTTAAAAGAATATAAATATTTTTAAAAATATTAATTCAAACTCGATTGTTTTCAAGAATTTTAATATAAATTCAATTATTTTCGACAATTTTGAATTAAATTCTTTAAAAAAAATAATTATTTTCAAAATTTCTAATAAAATTCCTTCAAAAAATTCAATTATTTTCAAAAGTTCAGATAAAATTCTTCGAAACATTACAATTATTTTTATGAATTGTAAAATTCTTGGCAAGAATTGAATTATTTTTGTAAATTATAAAATTCTTCTGAGAAATTCAATTATTTTTGTAAATAATAGAATTCTTCTGAGAAATTCATTTATTTTCAATACTAACAGGTTTAATTATTTCTAATAATTGTAATAAAATTTTTCTAAACAATTCAATTGTTTTCAAAAATTTTTAATAAAATTCTCTGTAAATTTCATTTATTTTTAAAATTTCCCAATTTAAATTATTTTACAAAATTACATTATTTTTACGAAATTTAATGAAATTTAAAAAAAAATGTAATTGTTTACAAAAACTCTAATAAAATTGTTTAAAAGAATTTAATTTTCTATGAATAATTTTAATATAATTTAATAAAATAATTATTAACTGCAATTTTTAATAAACACGATTATTTTAAAAACTTAAGAAAAATTCTTCATAAAATTCAATTACTTTTAAAATTTTTAGTGAAAATTATTTTCAATAAATCCATTATTTTCAAGCATATTGAAATAAATTCTTCAAAACAATTCAATTATTTTAAGGAATTTTAATAAAACTCTTTCCAAGAATTAAATTATTTTCAATAGAATTTTAATTACATTTTCTCGAAAGAATTCAATTATTGAAAAAAATGTTGATAAAATTCTTGAAATGAATGGAATTATTTTCAAATTTTTTTTATAAATACTTGACAAGAATCCAATGATTTTCAGTACATGAATTTTTAAATTTTAAACATTTAAGAAGAAAAATTATTTAAAAAGTTATCAACTAACTTCAGTCTACGAACAGATTACCGGAATATAACGATTATTTATATAGATATTAATAATAATAATTTAATAAATTGATAATAGAGAGATAATTTCAATTATTAACCTACAATGAAAATTCATTTTAATAATCTATTTACCTATCATTAACAAAAGTCCAAGCCATTTGGATCATATTTTGCAATTTGGCTTTGTCTCCTTTCAAACATTTCGCATATCTCAAAAGATATTTGTAAGGATGATCGACTTGTAAATCGAATTTGATTGTCTGTAGTAATACTCTTTCTAACGTCATTACTTCCTCCTGAAACAAATTTTCCATTTATTTCGAATTTATTTTTTTTAAATTCATTTCATAAAATTTATTTCATAAAATTTATTTCATAAAATTTATTTCATAAAATTTATTATATAAAATTTATTATATAAAATTTATTTCAAATATAAAAGAATGAAAAAAGTCAATTTCAACATTCGAATTCAATTTAATTACTGTTAATAGGTAGGAATACGAAAATAAAGAAAATTTGAACTGTATTTTGTAATTTTCCTTTGCCTGTCTTAAAACATTTTGCTTATCACAAAAGATAAAAAGGATAAAGAATAATTTTCGAAACAATTTTCTAAAAACGCACTTACTTTAGGATCTTCGCCGAAACTTGAAAATTTTTCTTCAGTCAACAAGCCTTTGGCAGTTTTGATAATGTCTTTACATTTTTTTGGCGTCTCCTCCACTTTCCCGGCTAGAAATAAACAACTGCATGCTGTCACCTTTAAAGAAAATGATAGAAGTGAAAATTGTTTTTCAATATATACTATTCGATAGTGTCAGTTAAAATTAGAAATAAACTCTATTAACTTACGTAACGTGGATATGTTTTAAAAGAATGAAACATATAAAAACGATGAAAATAAACAACACCCGTTGCTATTGTATTGTAACCCAAATCCATTTTTGCTCCCGTATCAATAATAAATCTTGCACCTTCAGTTCTGTAACGATTTTCCGTCTCACAATTGATTCCATCTCGAAATGAAGGTGTGTCTTTTAACTCCTCCTTGTCATAATACCAAAAGGGCATTTTTCAACAATCTGAAAGTATAAAAAATTTGTTAACAAACACTTTTCTCTCTTCTTCGAATTTTTATATTCGTATAAAAAATATTTTCAAGAGTTTTTTGATCATTAGAAAAAATTTGTGAACAAAACATTTTGTTCTTTTCGCTAAGAAAACTTGTTTAATTTCTTTTAATCGTTGTGACCTTCCCCGACTATAAAATCTGCAGCTCAATAAAAGGAATAAAAAATTGTAAAATAAAAAAAAAGAAAAGAAAAGAAAAAAAGAAAAATAAATACAAAAAAGAAAATAAATTGATAAAAATATGAAAAATAGACAAAAGAATGGATGATAAAAATTTTCAATGACACTATAAAGATAGAGGTAAGTTATCTTCTTTTTAATTTAACTTCTATTTAGGAATATATATATAATGACTTGCATACGTCACATCCTAAAGCCCCCATAACATTGATGACGTGTTTAGAATAGCCTACTTTAAAAAATATAGAGTTGAAAAATAAGAAAAAAATATGAAAAATATCGATAAAATTATACAAAAATAATAGATTGTCGACGAGTTGCGATGAAAAAAAGCCCCTGAAGAATAACAAAACATATGTTACAAAATGCTACAATAGATTTTTAATTTTATTAACAAAAATAAAAAAAATTCAGATTTACTTCAGTCATCGAATACTCCTAATAATTCTATTAACTAATTTTCTTTTGAATAGATTAATAATTAATCTTTTCAAATAAATACTTTTCTCAAAATAATATAAATATCTCAAAATGGAGAAATAAAAGAAAAACTCGAATCAAATTAAATAGAGAAAAAATAAATAATTCAGTCAAAACCTAATTTGAAATTAAAAAATGAAAATTATAAGAATAGCATTAAAACTTGTTTATAATAATCTAATTTACATCATATAATTTAATTACTATCAATTACTATTTTCTCCAGGAAATAATTATTTTGGAAATACATTTTTTATATAATATACTCACTTGTTTACGTGATTTTCAATTTTTTTTTCTAAAACCTCTCAGTAAATTTAAGCCTCCTTGTCGATAAAACAATCTTTTGTGTATTATTATTACTATTTATAATTTTCTACGGCACTTTTGGATTTTTTCACAACGTATACTTTTCTGATCATGGCTCTCTGCTGATTGAAGAGGACACACAACTGTCTAGGATAACAGTTGGGTAATGAAGATTCCAAACACAATTCACGACGTCCCTCAAAGATGTCTCTACAATGCAGTAAATTCTGTAAAATGAAAATAAATTTTAAAAATGTTTTTCAATTAAAAAAAATTACTTAAATTAGAAAAAAACCTTTTTTAAAATAAAAATTAAAAAAGGAACATCGAATATAGAAAAAAAATTAATAAAAGAACAATTGGAAAAATTCCGTATTTAAAAGAATAAGAATTAGAGTAAAAATAAAAATTCGATTTTTAAACAGTTTGTATAAACAATATTTGGGGTTTTTTTTAAAGAAGAAAAAAAAATTATTCGGAAAAAATTCTTTAGAATTTTTTTACTATAATTCCAGCGATGAGAAATATAAAGGTTACTTGTGAGAGCAAAGGTCGTAAAATGTGGTATGAGGAAGGTGAAACGAGAATATGGGGTCCGTTCCTTATCTTTCGATAGCAGGCGAGGAATACCCTTCTCGTCCTGCGTCCTGCTTCTAGAAGTTACAGAAAGTGCCATGATGAATCGGCCATCTTGCTGTCCTCAAAACGGGCTAAAATCTAAAAGTCTTTTTTTATTATTCCCTTATTCTTTCCTTCATACCGCAGCTCATGATTTATCATTTAGAAAAAGAATTAGAAACAAAAAAAATCGATTAAATTATTCCAAAAGTCGTTTTTAAATTTATTACCGTAAAATTTTTCCTACTTTTTCGAATTTTTATTAAACACAAATTTCAAATTTCCATTTATCCGAATTTTCATTAAAGAAAAATTACCATTTATCCAAATTTTTATTCTTCAAACATTTCATTTGTCGTAATTTTTGTCTACAATTCATTAGGATTCACAATTTAATTCACTAACATTTCTGCACTTATTCGAATTTTCATTAAAGAAAAATTTACATTTATCTGAATTTTCATTTTTTCAAAATTTCATTTGTTGTAATTTTTTAATATAATTTCAGATTCAAAATTTTGAAAAATTCATTTATTAACAACATAATTAATTACTATTGTTTATTATTTACAAAAATTGTAATAATATTCTTCGCAGGAATTCAATTATTTTCATAAATAATAACATTCTTCGGAAGAATTCAATTATTTTTATAAAGAATAGAATTCTTTGCAGCAATTCAATTATTTTTCATACAATTTTAATATAATTTCAAAAGAGAATTCAATTCTTTCTGAAAATTTTTTTTTAATTTCTTGACAAAATACAATTATTTTTAAAATTATTAATTAAATTCGATTATTTTCAAGACTTTTAATATAAATTCAATTATTTTCGACAATTTTGATGAAATTCTTTTTAAAACATCGTTATTTTCAAAATATTTAAAAAAAATTCTTCGAAATAATTCATTTATTTTCAAAAATTCAAATAAAATTCTTCGAAGCAATTCAATTATTTTTATCAATTGTAAAATCCTTCGCAATAATTCAATTATTTACATAAATATATGAAAATTTTTCACAAGAATTACAATATTTTCATAAATAATAAAAATCTTTAGAGAAATTAAATAATTTTCATAAATAATAAAATGTTTCGGAGGATTTCAATTATTTTCAATACAATTTTAATAAAATTTCTCTAACGGGTTCAATTATTTTCACAAATTTTAATAAAATTATTTTAAAAAATTAAATTTATTATGAAAATTTTTAATAGAGTTTAATAGTAAAATTATTAATTGCAATTATTAACAAAATGGATTTTATTAGAAAAATTAGAGATATTTTTTGAAAAAATTCTTCGCGAGAATTTAATTATTTTTTTCTATATAGAATAAAATTCTTCCCATGAATTCAATTTTTTTTATAAATAATAACATTCTTCGGAAGAGTTCAATTATTTTTATAAGTAGTAAAATTCTTTGCAGGAATTCAATTATTTTCAATAGTTAAATAAAATTCCTTAAATGAATTAAATTATTTTTAAAAAATTTAATATAAATTCAGAGAAGAATTTAGTTATTTTCTAAAAATTTAAATAAAATTCAATTATCAAATGTTAATAACAAACAACGATTATGTACTTTAAAAAATTGAAAGGAATTCTTCATAAAATTAAATTACCCTCAAAATTTCAATTAAAATTATTAAAAGAAACTCCATTATATTTTAGAAAAATTCAAAGAAATTCCTCAAAAGAATTTAATTAGTATTTACGAAAATTTTAATTAAATTCTTCGCAAGAGTTCAATAATTTTCCAAAAATAATAAAATTCGCTTCGAATGAATTCAATTATTTTTATGAATAATCCAATTCTTCTCAAGAATTCAATTATTTTTATGAATAATCAAATTCTTCTCATAAATTCAATTATTTTCATAAATAATAAAATTCTTCAAAGGAATTAAATAAATTATTTTCAAATTTTTTGATAAAATTCAATGCAAGAATTCAATGATTTTCAATACATTAATTTTAAAATTGAAAATATTTGAAAAGAAAAATTATTAAAAAAGTTAGGAAACAAAAAAGCAAACAACTAATTTCAATAACTGCGAACAGATTACCAGAATACAACGATTTTACAATTTTCAAAATATAACAAGAAAAAATTGAATATTCAAATTAATATTTCAATAATTAATATATGTAAATACACAAAGAATAGAAATGTACTTAGAAAAATTGAAAGTCATCATCATCATCATAATCATAATATATACGTGTGAATCATAATGAATTTCGAGAGCAAAGTGACCTAATATAAGAGAAGTGAAATTCAAGTAAATTTTTTTTTTACTGAGATCAGAGGTCAAGGGATATATGTTGTTATGTCTCGCGTTGATGTCCTCGGTTTGAACTTTGCTGAACTTATATAATATGAATGCGTAAGGAATGGACCACCCATGTAGAAGGGGGGTCTTTTTCTCGAGTCTGCCTCAAGTGTCGTCAAGGGTTGTGCGCGCAGCAAGTACCTACATCATCAGTTGGATGATAGTCAGTCCAGACATCGTATATACATATATAATATATGGATAAGTACCGAATAAGGACGGTTCTTGTATATAAATTTAAAAGTATATATATATACAGGTATAGACCGTGTTACGCAAAAATCAACGAGTCACTTTAACACCCCAAAAAACCTTTATGCTTCTCACACAATATTCTCGCAATGACCTCCTTAACTTATTCGCTGTGCCACACGCAAATATTTTCGAATTCAACACATTTCATATTCGTTTCAATATATCAAAATCAAAACAAAAAAACAGATTCAGGGTTTAATTTTCTTTTTTTTCAACCTGGAACTAAAATTAAATTTTTCTCTAATTTTTTTTTGCCACAAAAATTTAATTTTGTTTTTCTCTAATTTACAGATAGAATTTTGACTTTTTCCCTCATAAAAGAAATCCAAAGGCAATCTAGGTACTACTTTACAGAATATAAAGTTGAATTTAGAATACAGTATAGAAATAAATTGAGCCGCCGGATAGTATAACCACAAGCATAAAATTCTGACAAACTTTCTACTTTAGTTGGTTCCTGACATACAAAAAATTAACTTAAAACAAAGTTTTCATAATTATTTTCAATTATTTAAAAAATAAAATCTACAAAAAAGTAATTAATCAAAAAAAATTTTTTTGGTTAATTTCTATATTTTAACAGCTAACTATAGAAAGTCGTCAAAATTTTACGCGATTTTACTATCCGGCGGCTCATTAAAATTTTGTTTTAAAATTTCTGACAATTTCAGTTTCAAAAAAATCAAATATTTTTGATACTTTCAAAGTTCGCCAAACAACAAAAACGAGAATCTTTTTACAGTATTTTAAAAAAATTAATACTTTTCCTACGAAGAATTTTATTATTTATGAAAATAATTATTAATTCTTGAGGAGAATTTGATTAAAATGTTTGAAAATCCTAATTGTATTCTTTTAAAGAATTTCTTTCAATTTTTTTAAAAATAATAAAGTTTCTTTAATAATTTTAATTGAAACTTTTTTAAATAATTGAATTTTGAAAACAATTTCTTTCATGTTTTTAAAATAATCGTGTTTCTTAATTGGAATTGAAGGTTTATATATTGAATTTTATTAGGATTTTTAGAAAATAATTAAATTCTTCTCAGAATTTTATTAAAAATTTCTAAAATAATTTTATTCCTACAAGGAATTTTATTAAAATATAGAAAATATTTAAATTCTTTCGAGAAATAGATACTATTATTAAACATTTTGACACTAACTGAATTTTTCAAAAAATTTGTTCATTTATTCAATATAATCGATTTTGTTAATAATTGTAATTAATAATTTTACTATTAAAATTCTATTAAAATTATTGATAGAAAATTAAACTCTTTTAAAGAAATTTATTAGAGTTTATGTAACTAATTAAACGCTTTAGAAGAATTTTTTTAAGTTTTTTTGAAAATAATACAGTTTTTTGAATATTTTAATTGAAAATTTTAAAAATAATTGAATTAAACAACGAATTTTTTTTAACTTTTTAAAATAATCCTGTCTATTAATAATTATAATTAAATATTTGATTAATAAAGTTTATTAACATTGAATTCCTGAGAAGAATTTTATTATTTATAAAAAATAATTGAATGTTTGCAAATGAATTTTACTGTTTATAAAAATAATTCAATTGTTTCGAAAGATTCATTAAAATTTTAGAAAATAATTGTATTCTTTCAAAAGATTCTATTAAAATTTTTTACAAATTAAATTGTTTCGAAGGATTTATTAAAATTTTAGAAAATAATTGAATTTTTCCGAAAAATATTATTCAAAATTGAAGAAAAAATAAATTCTTTCATGAAATTTTATTAAAATATGTACCTATTAAAAATAATTGAATGTTTACAACGAATTTTACTGTTCATAAAAGTAATTGAATTGTTTCGAAGAATTTATTAAAATTTTAGAAAATAATTGAATTTTTTCGAAAAATATTAAAAATTAAAAAAGAAATTGAATTCCTTCATGAACTTTAATTAAAATAATTGTATTAACAATATTTGAATTTTTGCACAGAATTTTATTGTTTATAAAAATAATTGAATCGTTTTGAAGGATTTAATAAAATTTTAGAAAATAATTTAATCTTTTCGTAAAATATTAATAATTTTAAAAAATTGAATTTCTTCATGAAATTTTATTAAAATTGTATTTAAAACAATTAAATTATTGCAAAAAATTTTAATGTTTATAAAAATAATTGAATTGTTTCGAAGAATTTATTAAAATTTTAGAAAGTAATTGAATTTCTGCAAAGAATTTTACTATTTATAAAAACAATTGAAATCTTCCGAAGAATGTTATTATTTTAGGAAAACAATTGAATTTTCGCGAAGAGTTATATTTCAATTTTTGAAAATATAAACAATAATTATTAATTATGCACTTATTAGGTGAATTTTTTAAATTTTGATTATTAAATTGTTCAAAACTTTATATTTGAAAATAAAAAACTTTGTAATTTGTTATAAATAACAAAATTTCTATTTTATTGAACTTTCATTCCAAAAAGAGTGAAAAATTACCTTAGATTAAAAATAGTGAATTTTCGAAAAAAGAAGGTCATACGTTCAAAAATTGGAATCAGCGTGAATTTCGGGGAAACGTTAATAATGTTCTCTAATTGGGACTTTGTTCCATTTAGAAGAAGATTCTAAAGTGTCAATGAATTAGATTTTTAGTGCAAATTGACTGTACTAAGAAAAGAAACCTATTTATTACCACAGACTACGACTCAATGTCAAGTAATAGAAGAGTTATTTTTTTCTTTTTTTTTTAATACTCGGAAGGAGGAAACCATCGTGTGTGGTCCATGTGTTAATCAGGATAACTGGCTACCGAACGGCCCTTCAATTATATAAACCCACATCTCACCTTTTGACGAACACACCGTTGTATTTATATCCATCTCTCACACCATAGGTTGCACATCTTGTGTGAGACTCGTGTTTAAAAAGTTCTCTTTCATTTTTTCCTCTCAACTTATTCTTCTTCTTCGTCTCTTTCTTTTTTTCTCTCTCGCATCCTATTCTTAAAACAACAGTGCTTCATTGTTTCCTTCAAAAATTGTCGAAAGTGAATAAAAATCATTATAATGTTTCTTTCATCACGAAATTCTTTCCATGGAAAGAGTATAATAATCTGAAAAAAAGAGAAAATATTATTAAAAAAATAGAATTATTAAAGTGCATTTTCGGGTCAAAGTACGAGGAGAGAATTTTTGCGTGGGCGTTAAAATGGAGATTTTACTTTCATTAAAGACCGGTTGTCAGAATTTTGATTGTATGATAATTAATTCGAAGGCTACCTGTCTTCATTCACAATATTTCTGCATCTTTATAATATCTCGTAAACATTTTAACACCATATCGATACTTTCACTTTTTTTCTGCAGCATAAAGCCGGTTTTATCAATTATATTAATTTTTTCTTCTGAGCTACGTGCATAGAATTAAAAAAATCACAGTAATAATCTCTGTTTTGATTCTCTCAAAATTTCCGCTAATTTTTACTTTTCCTTTTTTCACTGTTTTTAATTTCCGACGATTTTTATATTTTTCCTTTCTTCACTATTTTTAATTTCCGCTAATTTTCACTTTTCCTTTTTTTCACTATTTTCATTTTATTATTACCATTTTACTATTTTTCTTTGACTTTTTCCTATTTTTGATTATAAAAAAAACTAAAAAATATAATTTTAATGGCAACAATAAATTCTTATCATTCGACTGTAGGAAAAATATTGTTTTTAGAAAATACCTTCAATGAAAGGGTTGCTAGCATCAAAATGAAGAAATATTTCCCGTAGAGACCATCAAAGTATGTTTTGTTTAGTCGAGTGTATATAGAAGTGCTTCAGTTAATCCTGATGTTTCAGTATTTTTTTTCTCAATCCAACTGCGACGACGATATAATCTCGGGGAGTTCAAAATCATGTCGAAACAAAAATTTCCTGATAAATTCTGAAACAATAATTCAAATATAAATAAAATAATTAATATAAAATTATAAAAAATTAATTTCAATTGCAGACAGGAATTTAATAAAATGTAAAAATTAAGAGATTAAATTTGAAAAAAGGAGATTAAATATATAATTAATATTTTTCTAGAGATTAAATAATAAAAAAAATATGAATAAATAATAAAATAAGTACCTAATGAAATAAGTAATGAAATTTCAGAGTCCAAAATTATGACTATAACGAAAGTTTTACAGTAAAGACAAAAGTTGAAAAAAGTTAATTTTAATTCGGCGAAATAATTTTTTAATGGAACTTGTATATTTATTGTGAAAAGTGTAAAAAGTTCAGGGTGTAAAGTCAAAAAAAGAGTGCTTTGATAAGAAGAGATGAGGGGGCAAAAGGTTGATGTGTACACTGTGGTAAATATTTGCGTGTCAACATACAGACTTATGCACTAGTATCCCTTCTATGTTTCAACTATAGAGAGACATGCATATAACCAGTATATGTGAACTCATTCAGACACGGTGTCAAACGAACAAGACAATAGTCCATTTTATTTAGAAAAAAATATCACTTCAAACAAAAAGAAAAAATTAAATAGAATATGAAAATTATTATTCACAGTCGAGATTTATTTCCGCTTTAACTTTTAACTTTGTCAATATTATCTTCATTATGTTAACAAACGGTTGTTACAAAAATTTCATTTTCTTTCAACCTGCGATTTCAAATTAAATTCCAGATTCCAGATTCAATTATTTTTCATAGAATCTAAATAATTAATATGAATTTTGGAATAATTTCAGATTCAAACTTTAAAAAAATCCAATTATTAACTAATTTAGGTAATTAATTATTATTCTTGTTTATTAATTTCAAGAATGTTAATAAACTTCTTCGCAGAATTCAATTATTTTCATAAATAATAACATTCTTTGGAAGAATTCAATTATTTTTATAAATAATAAAATTCTTTGCAGGAATTCAATTATTTTTCATACAATTTTGAAATAATTTCAAAAGAGAATTCAAATCTATCCAGAAATTTTTTTAATTTTTTGATAAAATTCAATTATTTTCTAAAATTGTAATAAATTCTTCGAAACAATTCAATTATTTTTATAAATAGTATAAAATTCTTCTAAAAATTAAATTATTTTCATAAATTCAAAAAAGTTCTTCAAAAGAATTTAATTAGGATTTTAAAAAATTTTTTTAAATTATTAAAAAGAATTTAATTTTTTATAAAAATTTTTAATAATAGTAAAATTATTAATTACAATTATTAACAAAATGGATTATATTAAAAAAATTAGAGGAAATTTTTGAATATGAATTTTTGAATAATTTCTGATTTAAACTTTAATAAAATTCAATAATTAAATGTTTAATATCAATTATTAACAAACACAATTATTTTAAAAACTTTAAAGAAATTGTTCATAAAATTGAATTATTTTTAAAAATTTTTAATTAAAATTATTATAGAAACTCCTTTATTTAACGAAAAAATTCAAAAAATTCTTCACAAGAATTTAATTAAGATTTTCAAAAATTTAATAAAATTCTTTTGCAAGAATTCATAAATATTTTCATAAATAATAAAATTCTTTAAATTAAAATACTTTGAGATTTCGATTTTTTTTAAATCTCTCAAATAATTTTTAAAATAAATATTTAATTATTATTAATTTCTTCACATTAATTGAAATTTAAAACTTTCTGAAATTTTCTGTGAAATTGATAAAAACTCAATGAATTATTTTTGAAAAATGAAACATTTGTCAACTAAAATCGTCTTTAAATTAAATAAAATTAATAAACTTTAAGAAAGTTGTTCTAGACTAAAATTATTCAAAATAAATTCAAAAAAAAAAAAATAAGCAAAATTTAAGTCACTGTTTGAAAAATTCAATGCTTTTCAAAACTTAAAAAAAAAATGTAAGGATAATCCAAAAATTAAAAAAATGTAATTTCAATTATTTTAATATCGATCGATCCGAATTAAAAAAGTTTTTTAAAAAACAAAAAAATCGTTAAAAATACAAAATTTTTGTTCAATTCAATTCAGACGTTTAAAAATTAAATTTAAAATTCTTCAAATTCAAATTAAAAGTTTGATATATCACCCGCACATTCATTTTTCAATTTCAACATCGAAAATTGATTACACATAAATGTGTATTTTAAGCTCTTGTAAAAAAAAAAGTTTATCGAGTTTTTGCAAAAAATAACTTTCAAAGAAACGAGAGGACATACATGTTTGATTAGAAAGAAAGTCAATGAAACTGGTCATCATCAGATATATAGAGTTAAAGTGGTTCTCCGAACTATATAAGTCTCCAAGGAGATTCAGTGGAGGGTGTATCGTAAATGAAAGGAGTGGATTTTTTTTTCTCTCTCTTTTTTTTTCTTTTTTTTTGCTAGATTTAAGAGAGAACCTTTTTGGAGTTAGATAGTAGGAAAGAAAAGGAAGAGGAAGCGTATACTTTCCTCTCACTTCACTCCTCTCTCTGTGTGCTTTTAATTTACCGGGCGGCAGGCAAATGTTTGCGCCACTCCCCCTTGATCGTACAACCCATTTCTGCCCTCTCGTTTCTCTTCACCATCCCTTGTCCTGGCCATTTTCGAATCCCCCTTTGGAATCACCTTCTCCCTCCCTCCCCTTTTATTCGCATCAGCAACGAACGGATGAACACATATATGTGTGTACACCTATTGACTGACTCTGACCATCACTTGGATCATAACCAGGAGCACACCACTGACGATAATCTACCTATCTAGTTCATATATACACATATATACATCGTTCATGATAGTCAAAGTCCTCTTGTTCATTAAATCGAGAGAAAAAAATTATCACAAACCGGAAAAAAGTGAAGTCAGCTAATTAACTTTGACAAAGTGAATTCTTTTATTCTTCTTCTTTTCCTTTTTTTAATCAAATTTTAATCAAATTTCCTTTTATTTTATTTATTATATGCTTTTTTAATACTTGTAGATAACTTACGAAATTTAAAACGAATTTTCCTCTTCTTCATAGAATTTACAATCCAACAGTCCATAATATTTTTAATTTCTGATGAATTCCATTTCCAATCGCAGGAAAAATTTTAATTTCTGATGAATTCCATTTCCGATCGTAGGGAAATTCTTTACATTTGTTGCTCTTTATATACGAGTCGAGTGAAACAAATTTTCTCTTCTTAGTTTTGACGATCCAACAGTAGATGATGATTGCTATTTCCAATTCCAGTAAAAAATTTAATTTCTGATGAATTCCATTTCCGATCGCAGGGAAATTCTTTACATTTGTTGTTCTTTATACGGAAAGAGTGAAACAAATTTTCCTCTTCTTAGTTTTGACGATCCAACAATCAATGATGATTTTCATTTCCAATCCCAGGAAAAAGAATATTATTTGATGTGCGTGTTGTATTGTTTTTAAAACTGGAAATTGTATAATTTCGGCTTTTGAACTTTGCTTTCACTTTGAACCGCACTTGGAAACTTTCGATGATTTTCCATGGCAGAATTGCAAGCAACTGCAAATAGAAAAAAGCGATGTTAATTAATTTTTTAACAAATATTTGAAAAATAATTATTTTACTTTTCAGTTTAAACTGAATAAATATATAATTATATTTCGCATTTAATTTTAAAAACCACTGCAATTAATAAAAAGTGTTACTTAATTTTGTTCATTCATAATATTTCGCAAAAGTGTCAGACTTATGAACGAAATATTTTTTAATAAAACTTCTATTATCATAAAATACAAATTTTTGTATAATTTCATAATCAAAATTTAAAAAATTCACTTATAAGGTACATAATTAATTATTGTTATTTATATTTTCAAAAATTTAATATAATATAAATTATACCTAATAAATAAATAAAAATAATTCTTCGCAAGAATTCAATTATTTTCATAAATAACAAAATTCTTCGAAAGAATTCAATTATTTTTAAAAATAGTAAAATTCTTTGCGACAAAATTCAATTATATCTTCAACAAATATTTTTAATATTTTTCGAAAAAATTAAATTATTTTCTAAAATTTTGATAAATTCTTCGAAACAATTCAATTATTTTCTAAAAATTCTAATTAAATTCAATAATTAAATGTTTAATTTCAATTATTAATAATTGAAGTTTTTGAAAGGACCTTAATTTTCTAAATAATAAAGTGGATAATTTTGTGGCCTTTGGTCCAAGAAGATGTAGATTATTATTAAAAACTGGAAAGAAATTGTTTATAAAATTCTATTGCTTTCAAAATTTTCAATTAAAATTATTAAAGAAATCCCATTATTTAAAAAAAAATTTTTAATAAATTTTTCACAAGAATTTAATTAAGATTTTCATAAATAATAAAATTCTTCGAAGGAATTCAATTTCAATTTTTTTAATGAAATTCTTTGCAAGGATTTTAAATTATTTTTAATACATATTAATTTTAAAATTGAAAATATTTAAATAGAAAAATTATTTAAAAAGTTAGGAAACAAAAAAGTAAACAACAACTAACTCTCAACTGCGAACAGAATACCGGAAAGCAACGATTATTAATATAAATTAAGATTATATTTTGATAGTGCCGCATCAAGCATCTTTAAAAAATTGAATTAAACTTTCCAAATAAAAAATTTCTTGTCAGAATCTTAAATAATGTTTCAAATAAATATTAATTTTTTTACAAGAATTGAAATTTTCAAAAATTTTTGTTTTAAATTTATTTTGAAATTAATCAATTATTTCGGAAAATTGTAATCATACTTTTATATTATTATTATTATTATTATTATTTTTAGTACGCATGCGATAAATAAAGTCATAAACTTGTTAAAATGACAATGTTTTTGTTTCAAATTTCTTTATAATTGCGACTTTTATCGAATATTGTCTTTGAATTAAAAAAGAAAGATTAGTTGCTTTCATAATTTGTACATTATACATACCTCATGAGTTATGAAATTAACAACCGGTGTAAATCACATCAAAACATGGTTTATCGGTTGGCAACATGTTTGTTTGGCATATAGAAGAGAATTTGCCGACCGTCTATAAAGATCTCATTTAAACTGTTTACTTACACATTTACGTTTCGTGGTTGAATATTCTTTGAAAATTAAACTCCACACAAGTCCCGTGATAATTCCCTGACCTGAAATACAATAAAAAAAACACATTTTTAATAAATAAAATAATATTCTAATCATACAAATTAAAATAAATTAAATAAATTATAATAAATATAATATAAATTATAAACTGTACTAAAAAAAAAATTGGTTTCTATTTTAATTATGAATAATTAAAACAAATAAATAAAAATAATTAAAACAAAAAATTATATAATATAATTAGAAATTATAATAATTAAAAAAACCCAAAATTTGTAACTAAATACCATTTGTTCCAAAAAAGAGACATTAAGTAGAATCTCAAACGAAACGAAAATTGAATTAATTAGTTTAATAATAAAAAATATTCCATTACTTATGAATAAAGTACATGTAAACAAAATTATTAATCCCCTTTTTTTACATATAAAATATTAAGAATCGAGAATGACAATCGTAAAAATCCATCATGTATTTACAGTATGTGAATAATTTTTTCTTTTTGGAATTGAACATCGTTCTCACGATAAATAATAAATGAAGAATAAACATGACGAAATCGTTGTAATTTAAATGTAATTATTGCGCACACTCATTACACAAACTTTTTTGTTTTTCTCAAGCACGATGAGCTTTCAATGTCCGTTCTCTTTAGTTTCCGGTCACGTGGATGATACGAAAGCAAAAAAAAAATAAAAAAGAGGGTCAAACGCCCTAAACGTCTATTATGTGTCGTATATCAAGACTGAAGCGCGTGGCTTTTATTCATAATTATATATGTCGCGTAACCCTTAATATAATTTTTATCGATGATCCTGGCATTTTTATGTCTCTAATTCTTTCACAGAAAAAATAGTTATTTATCGAATATTCCCATATATACCTGAACTTCATATCTCTATCTTGGAAATTATTATCGATGTATAAAAAAAAAGTTTTTAACAATTTGGATTTGATAAAAATATAATTTTCTGTTTTTCAATAAGTTTTATGAAAGTAAATTTATTTATTTATTTATTTTGAATAGAAAAATTTCCATTTAGTTTTCAAAATTAACAAAATTAGAAAAAAAATTTTTTGCAAGAAAAAATTTACCTTATGAATACAATATTAATATTTAAAAACAGAATTTATATTTTACTAAATTTTCCTTCCAATTTTGAGGAAAACGAAATTTTCATTTTTTTAAAATTCTATTTAATAGAATTCTTAATTTCAAGAAAAAAACTCTATTTAGTTTGTATAATTAATAAAATTAGAAAAAAACCAATTTCGTTACGAAAAAAACCGTTCAATTCTAACTAAAGAATTTAATTGATAATAATTAAATTCATTCGATTGATTTATAAAAAATTTGAAAATAATTCCACGCCTGTGATATTTTTGAAGATAATTGAATTCTCGCGAAGAAATTTATAATATATTTCAAAAATTCATTAAATTCCTTCTAAAAATTTTAATAATTTCTTGTGAAGAATTTTATTATTTTTGAAAAAAATTCAAATCATTCAAGAATTTTATTAAAATTTTTCAAAATAATTGAATTTTTTTTGAGAAATTTTATTAAAATTGTATTGAAAATAATTGAATTCCTTCAAAGAATTTTATTATTTATGAAAATAATTGAATTCTTGCGAAGAATTTTATTACAATTTTTTAAATTCTTTGCAAGAATTCAATTATTTTTGTTAATAATAAAATTATTGATGGAATTGAATTATTTTAAATACAATTTAATTGAAATTTATTCAAAGAATTGAATTATTTTCATAAATATTAAAATTCTTTGTAGAAATTTAATTATATTGAAAAATTTCAATAAAATTCTTAATAAGAATTCAATTATTTTAAAAAATATTAATATTCTTCGAAGGAATTCGAAGAAAAACAAATCGAAAGAATGAAATTAATACCTATTTGAAAAAATTTTGACAAAATTCTTTACCAATTTAATTATTTTCAATACAATTTCAATAAAATACTTCTAAAGAATTCAATTAATGCTAAAGATTGTAATAAAATTTTTTTTTAAAAATTCAATCATTTTCGTAAATAATAAAATTCTTTGCTGGAATTTAATATTTTAATTACTTTTCAAAATTTTGTTCAAATTCTTCCAAACAATTTAAATAATTTGAAAAATTATAATAAAATTTATCGACAGTTTTTCAATTATTTTTGTAAATAATAAAATTGTTCTCAAAAATTCAATTATTTTCACAGGTTTGATGACTTTTTTTACAAGAATTCAATGATTTTCAAAAAATTTGATAAAATTCTTAATAAGAATTCAATATTATTTTCAATACAATTTTAATTAATTTTTTTTTTGAAAAATATTAAAATTCGTTGAAGGAATTCGATGATTTTTACAAATTTTAAAAATATTCTTCTGAGAAATTCAATTAAATTTTCGATTTGATAAAAATTTTCTCCATTTCAGTTTTCAGTAATTCCATATTGATAATAAACAATCTAATAATAACGAAAATAAAATTTTTCTCCAAATATTTGTATTCGAAAAAGGTTTTAATTATTAATAAATACACCCAAAAAAAAGAAGGAAGAGAAAGAATAACTTATCCAAGTAAATAAAATTAAAAGCGAATTAATCCAAGATCTATTTATATATTATGCATAATTATTAATACTGAAATGACTATTTAATCGCTCTCTAATAAATATAATTTTCTGAATAAACAATTTTTTTCACGAAATCCATGCAGAATATTATTTCCTTTTTGCATAAAAAAATAAATATTCCACTTTGAAAAATATGTATCATTCATTATCTAAAATTTAAATTTTATATTTACCTTACCAAATAAAAAAAAAGTTCCTATATAAGCAAAGAGTATAATTTTACAAAAATAAATATTTACCGAAAAATAATTTTACAAATAATTTTTTATTTGGTAAATATAAAAATTTTCTCTCGCTTCTAATTTGCTTTTTTTTCTATTTTTATATTGATTTTTATATCTTAAATGTGAATTTTTCCAAGTGAAAAAAAAAAAATTTAATGGAAAAATTTACTTCGATGCTCGCGCGCGTAAATCTTAAACATTGTAACATCAGAAAAAAGACATAGAGAGGATATAGCTATAATATTGAGAGACTCCGTAAGAAAGGCTGTCTTTGAAGCATCATAGAGTAAAGGATTTTGAGAAGTTGGAATGGGTATATAAGGGTTGAAGGGGGGACACGGGAGCGGGTTGAAGGTGGTTTTTCACTGAAAAGGGGTAGACAGCAGAAGCCTTCCTTTGAAGTGAAACTGGAAGAGAAGATGAATTCGGGCGTTCTCTCTGAGAGAACAAGGCTTGTGTCAGTCGTTTCTAAGTATGAAAGGAAAGAGAGCGAGGAAGAGAGAAAAGAGAGACTAAAAGCAGCACAAGAGCCGGCATAGAGAGACGGTAAAAGTTTATTAATTACGTGGAATTAAATGAGGGGAGACTTGGAGAGACGATAATAAATAGAGACCACTTAAAGACATTCAATTGACAACTAGAAAAATTTTCCAAAAATGAAAGAAAAAATTATGACAATTTTTTCAATTATTAATTGATCATCAATATTAATTACCAGTCGCACGAAAATTCCAATTATTATATTATAATAATCGACATTATCTTTCTTTACCTGAAGTTAGTGTTTTTTAATTCAAATTTTTTGTTTTCGAATTTTTATGCCAAAAGTTTGACAATTAATTTGTATAAATAATAAAATAAATGAATTAAGAAAATTTAATCCCAATTTCAAAAACTCAATAAAGAGGAACAGTTGCAATTTTTTAAAATAATGAATTATTCCATAAATTATTCATTTTTGTATTTAAATAACTGAATTCTGATAAGAATTGATTTACAAAAGAATTTTTATTAAAACTATAATAATATTATTTAAAAATTCTAAAAAATAATTGAATTTTGAAAGACTTGCAGTTCAAATTTTCATAAAATTTTTCCAATGGTTTAAATTGAAAGTATTTCGAAATTTTTAAACAAATAAAGAACAATAAGTATATATACATATATATTTATTTTACAAAAATGATTGAAATTTGAAAGATTTAATTTGGAAATTCTGAAAAAATTAGGTTTTTGAAAAATAGTAATTAAAATTTTTTGAAATACTTGAATTCTGGAAAATAATTTTAAAAAATTGAACCAATTGGAAATTTTGTACAATTTTATAAGTATTTTAAAGAAATATATTTTTTCATCTTTAAAAATTATCTATAAATATAATTATTGGATTTTTGAAAATACATTATTTTATAAATTTACCAAAATTATTCTATATATTCAATTTTCGTCGTTGAATTCTGATAGCAATTGATTTAAAAAAATTTCAGTTAAAATTTTAGAAAATAATTGAATATTTAAGGCGTTATAACAGGAATATTAGTAATTAAATAAATTTTAAAAGGTTTTTAAATTAAATTTCTTGAAAATTTAAGGGAAGCAAAAGTATAAAAATGTTTAAAGTTTTATTTTAAAAAATTGTTAACTACATTATTTTTCTTTGAAAATTCTTAAAGTTTTGAATAATTTAATTCAAAAGTTCTAAAAAAAATTGAATTTTCAAGAATTATAATTGGAATTTTTAAAAATAATTCAATTTCAAAAGGTTTTTCATTGAAATTATATGAAATTCTAATTCCTGTCAAAAAATAAATAAGAATAAGTTTTTAATTTTGAAGTTTTAAATAATTTAATTAAAAAATCCCGAAAAATAAATTGTTTCTTGACTATTTTGAGGAGGTACTTAAAATTTATTAAAAATAATTGTATTTCCGAAAATAATTTTAAAAAAATTCAAACAATTGAAAATTTTGTCAAATTTTATTGAAATAAATTTTATATTTTAATGAATTTTATTTGTCTACTTTTAAAAATTATTTTGAAATATAATCGTATTTTTTAAGAATTCTAATTGAATTTTAAAAACAATTTCTTTCATGTTTTTCTTTAATTTATTGATTATAATCGATTTTGTTAACAATTGTAATTAATAATTTTACTACTAAAATTGTATTGAA